CCCTCCAGGTCAGTGGCCCATTGTTCCCTGCTGCTTTCTCCCTCTCTCTCTCTCTCTCTCTCTCTCTCTCTCTCTCTCTCTCTCTCTCTCTCTCTCTCTCTCTCTCTCACACACACACACACACACACACACACACCAGAGTCATTTGATGTTTAACAAAACAGAGACACACTCCTTAGGGATTTATTTTATGATCATGTAAAAACCTAGCTCTCACCTCAGAAAATAAGATAGTTTATTCGGAAGCCCAAAATTCGTGACTTGTCTGGGAATACTGATTCAGGTTACCCTGAATGCTGTATTTCAGTTTGGTAACAGCTTCATGAAGTTTTTGTAGTGGTAGGACAAAGAAAATCATCTAGATTCTGCATATGTGAGAAAACATGCAACATCTAAGCCAGGCTGATTTTGCTCATAATGACAGTCTCCTATCCATTTTCCTTGCAGATGACTTAATTCTATTCTCCTTTTATTCATTCTTAGAGCTGAACAAACTCTAGTGTGTATGTCCTGCATTCTACCATTCATGTCTTGATGGATGTCTGGACTGACTATTCTTTTTTAATGTGTGTTCTTGGTGCTGTAGACATAAGGATTTATTTCTGGGCTGTGTTCTGTCCATTGGTCAGTGTGTCTATTTTGACTTCTGTAGTTTCATAGTATGTCTTGGAGTCAGGTATTGTAACACCTCTAGCTCTGTCCTTTCCTCCAGGGCCACTCTGCTCAGGCTCCACTGTGGCTCATCCAAGTTTCGGGAGCACCTTTCATGTGTCTGTGCGGAACGTCCCTGGTGTTCTGATAGAACTTGGATTTTTTTCTTAATACTAATTGCCAATACTAATTGTTTTTCTGGATGTACACCTCTCAACAGTGAGATCCTGAGGGTTAACTGAACAATGAGATCCCGAGGGAGCAGCACCTCTTTCTTATGCTGGTGTCACAGCCCCCCCACCCCAATGGCAGAGGCTTATGCAGAAATTAGAGACTGATTCTCCCTGGCCTGGCACAGTGGCTCTTACCCACAAAAGACCCATGGCTCAGGCTTCTAGTAGTTTACCTCCCTGCCAAGCTCTAGGCATGACTTCCAAGTTCTCCTTCGGCTGCAGCAGAGGGGATGGAGGAACGAAGCAGCGGTGAGCAGCTCACTGCAGTTGGCGACTGACAGACCCATCAGAACAGACCAGGACACAGGCACGTGACCACAGCCGGGAAGGGTTTAAAACACAGTTGTGGAGAATAAACAGTCGTTCGCTGTTTATTGGAAAATCAAATTGTTTGTTTAAAGAGTCGGGCTTTCTTCTAGAAATTCCTGTAACCTAGTTACTTGCCACTTTTCTCTTTCTGGGCCTGCTTGTGTTTCCTGGAACAATAAAATCACGTGAACAGATAGCAGAAAGTCAGGTTACTGTGCACAGTAAGTGGTGTGGGTGGAAGGAGTTTGGGATTGGAGTGTCTCTGTCCTGAGAGCCACAGTCTCTGGAATGGTGTGCACATTGTTCACCCACAGAAGTGCCACCTCCACTAGGCAGGATCCACATGCCCAGCTGGATATGGGGCCTGCAGGGAAGCGTGTGCATCTTAACAAACACTTCACAAGATGGTTATAAAACCACTGAACTGCATGCATGTCACGGTCCATGAGTTGATTGCCAAGTACTTTAGCTATGGCCCACAGGAGCCTGGGAGGTCAGTTCAGGTAAACTCTGACTTCATGTGTCTGTCCCTGTGGTTGGGTCAAGGATGGTGAGCAGGGGAATCTCCCAGCAAGGTAGGACGTCACGGCTGGAGATGGTTCTGGAGTGTGAGCACCTGAATGAGCTGCGCTGGCTATACCCTTCCACTCCCCCTGCCCCTCCCAAGAGATTTATTTGGGGGCATCTGGGCAGACCCAGTGGCCAGGAGCACTGAGTGACTGGCAAACAGCTTCCTAAGAGCTAAGTAGTTCATGGGCAGGTCCTCAGAAGGTATCACTTTCACACTGAGTTCCCATCCAGGTGGATTTGGGGTTTTGTTCTGCCCCTCTGACCAGCTGTCCCTTTTCTCCTGAGTATGTGAAGACCAGCAGGAGAAGTACTAATACTGTCTGCCCTCCACCCCCGCCCATTTCACTGTGTACAAATAGAAGGCTTGGCTTTCTTCAGGCCTGGCTTTGATCTCCCATCTTTGTCAAAACCTTTTTCGAAGGTTCTACGAGGTACGACATTCTGTGCTCCATGCTGGAGCCAGGAAGGGAGTAAGTGGGCAGGAGGAATGGTTGTAGTATTTACAAGTTTGGGGTGAGATGAGGGTCTTGAAGGTGTAAGTGTCTGGTAAGGAAAGGGGGCATAGGTATAATGGGGTCCTTGCAGAGGGGTACAGGCATGCAAAACACAGGAGGTACCCCCCTTATCTTCTCCAGTGATAGATCTGCGCAGCTAAGAAAGGGGCATTCCAGGCATTGTTCAGGGTCTGATGTTCTGTCCTCCGTGTGGGCTGGAAGTGCTGCTGGCACTTTGTGTCCTGGCATAGGAGCTGTGCCTTCCCCTGGAGTTTCCCCCAACTGATCACAGCTTCACCAAAGCCACTCTGGGAGGAGGGGGATGAAGACCGAGTTTTGAAAAATCTCGGTACCATGAGTCCTGTGCTAGATATCTGTGTGCCATTCTGTCTTTCCCGAAACTGTGGATTACAGTCATGTGTGTGTCCTTTAATGACAGACAGATGGTCTAAAAACTGGTAGGTAATTTCCTTGTGGCATGTGAGGTACAAGCATGCACAGCTGTATGGTAGAGGCACCACACATTCAGCTGTGGGACGGTCAGTGCCTGGTAGTCCTCGGCTGCAGCCTGGACATATGCTGGGACTGGTTGTCCAGGGGCTGACACGGGGGCCAAGATCTGTTCACTTCATAAAAGCTACAGTGAGAGAGAGAGAGAGAGAGAGAGAGAGAGAGAGAGAGAGAGAGAGAGAGGGGTGCCCGTGTGGGACACTTGGGGTGTGAGGGAGTGCGAGGGAATGCAGCGCGGGGGGAACCGCTGTCTGCCCTGACTATACACTGGACTCAGGCCGCACTGCCGTTAGATAAAAAGTTTCCTCAATACATTCATCTTAGCTTACAGGAGGGGTTACTTTATGAACTAAGGGTTTTTTGTTGTTTGTTTTTTGTTTGGAGAAAGGGTCTTACTATGTAGCTCTGTTTGGCCTGGAACATTCTATTAAAGGTATGTGTCTGGCTAAACTTTAAATTCTGTAATTACACTTAAAATGCATATTGTACTACTATGCAAAAAGTTCTCTTCATATTCCATATTCTGCAAGCTTTTTCCTATTAGTTTAAAATGTTACCTTTGAAACTTAATAGATTTGTTTTTATTAGGTGTATGACTATGCAGGAGCCCTTAGGGGTCAGCAGAGGGTGTCGGATCTCCTGGAATGGGAGTTACAGGTGGTTGTGAGGGTGCTGGGATCCGAACCCTAGCTCTCTGCAAGAGCAGCATGTGCTCGTAACCAATAAACATCTCCGGCCCCATTCCACGTTGGTGGTGGTGTTGCTGCAGTGTAGCGCCAGGCTCGTCAGCGGCACACTCCACTCTCCATCTTGTCCCATCTGGTATCTTGGTGGGCAGTGACAGGCCTGGGGGTCCTTTCCTGTGATGACAAAGCCTTTTCCTCCCAAGGACCTGTCTGAGTCTGTTCTGCAGTTAACTTTTTTCTTTCTCCCTTCCTCCTTCTCCTCCTTCCCCTTTCTTTCTTTTCCCTCCTTCCTTTCCTTTTTTCTTTCTTAAAGAGAGAGAGTTCTCTGTCAAACAGTGACAAGGCATCCAGCACCATGGTTCTCAACCTATGGGTCACAACCCCTTTCCCAGGGGTGGCTTAAGACATCGGAAAACACACATATTTATATTACATTTCATAACAGTAGCAGAATTATAAAGTAGCAACGAAAACAGCTTTATGGTTGGGGGTTACATCGTGAGGAACTGTATTCAAGGGTCGCAGCATTAGGAAGGTTGAGAGCCACTGTCCAGGCAGAAGTCTAGAGGAAGCTGACTAGTGTCAGAGGCTGTGGCCATCTTAGGACTGTTGAGACCTGTCCTGGGATATTTGGGAGTGTGTGTTACTCATTCTCTGTTGAGATTTCTCTCTGAGAAAGAGTCCTGGGTCTGGTGAGATGGCTGCATGGGTAAAGGTGCTTGCAGTCAAGGCTGATACCCTGAGTTTGATCCCTGAGACCCACATGGTGAATGAAGAGAACCTATACTCCCGAAGTTGTCCTCTGACCACTGCCAACGCAGCATGAGGACATCATGTGGAGGAGCTGACAGGCTTTGTCAAGCGAGCTGCTGAAATGTATGCCTTCTGTCCCTTTCTCTGCAAGAAGGAAAAACCACACAGTACCATTTCTTTTTTGTCGCTAATTACATTTTGTTTACTCTGTGTGTGCACAGGCTCATCTGTGTATAGACGAGCCACAGTGTGCCTGTGGAGGTCAGAGGACACCTTGAGGGTGGCAGTTCTCACCTGCCACCATCTGGGTTTGGGGGAACGCATGGCTCACAGAACAACGTGTCAGCCAGTGCAGGGTTGTCCCTAATACTATAATAGATAGAAAACACCCCATGACCTGGTCAACTCATGCTCATGTGGTACGTAAGTAAAAAAAGCTGCCAGTCACATCCATGTCCAGAACTCAGCTACATGCAGAATGGAACAGGAGGTATTGAAAACATGCAGCTCTTACTGGCTCAAGGTTGTGCTAGATCAGTAGTTCTCAACCTTCCTTATGCTGCAACCCTTTAGTACAGTCTTTGGTGTTGTGCTGACACCAATCATAAAGTCATTTTTGTTTCTACTTCATAACTGTAATTTTGCTACTGTTATGAATCATAATGTAAATATCTTATATGCAGGATATCTTATTATCTGACCCCTGTGAAAGGGTTGCAACCCACAGGTTGAGAACCATTGCTCTAGACACTGGTAAGCAGAGTATGTTTTTTGTTTCTGTTTGCCTCCTACAGATGGATCTGTCCGTGGAAACCCTCTTTTGCTTCATGCAGGAGCGCCAGAAAAGATACGCCAAGTATGCAGAGCAGATCCAGAAGGTGAATGAGATGTCGGCCATACTGCGCCGCATCCAGATGGGCATTGACCAGACAGTGCCACTGATGGAGAGGCTCAACAGCATGCTGCCAGAGGCCGAGCGCCTGGAACCCTTCAGCATGCGGCCTGAGCGTGAGCGGCACTAGCAGGCACCTGCCTCCCGAGCAGCTCCTTCAGCCTCTGCCTGGGCCCTGATGTTTGCTTAGATGTGGTCATTCTTGATAACTGAAGATGGGACAGTTGAATTCCTTTGAATTCTTTAAAGAACTTGCATCGAGAGTTATTTTTATTTTGCTCAGATTTTTTAATTAAAAGTGTATCTAGACTAGCTACTGTAATGAAACTGGAGAAAACGTTAAGAAGCCATGTTCTCCTTGGCACCCTGGGAGACTTTACTCAGGCCCTCTGGGTTGTGGTTGCAAATATAAGATCTAACTGAGTCCAGTTATTGTTCCCACGAAAGCTCCCGTCACATCAAGGAGGTATCTGCAGTGTCTTCCTTTCCTGCTGGGACACTGTCTCTTTGTTTCCAGGTACCATGCCCCTTTTGTGGGTCACTGGAAACTGAATTCTCCCTTCACTTACTCCTGAAGTTGTTGTCTGTTAGTAACTGCTTTCTCATACAGAGTCCAGCCTTCCGTCACCTCGGCAGACCTCCGTCTCCGTAACAAGGTTGGCACCAACATTGCATCCTGTCCACCAAGGGTGGTCGTTCTCTCACTCCAGAGACCCACTGAGCTCTGCTGATGTGCCAGGGACGCAAGAGGAGGCAATGCAGCGTCTGCCCTCCATTGCCATCTGTAGATCATGATGCCCAGGAAAGAGATGCTGCCCATCTCATGAGTTCAAGGAGGAGATGCTCAAGGGAGGGAGGGGTGGGATAAATGGAGGGGGCAGGCCTGAAGACAAGAGCTGGGGTCTGAGGAGATCAGGGCTGGGAGCCTGAAGCCTTCACCTTGTTCCCTGTATTCCTCCAGAACCCAGAGGTGATTTATCGGGAGTCAGAATAGCTTTCAGTGTTTTTATAAGATTAAAATTAATCTGTTTACTTTATTGTGTAGCAGCTAAACTTGATCTGATTCTAATCTTACTTTTTAATTTTTAATTTTATTTATTATTGTCATTTTGTATACGATGTGTTATGTGTGAATAAGATTGTTATAACGCATGCTTGGAGGTCAGAAGACAGCTTTCCAGAGCTGCTTCCCTCCTTCCACCTTTATGTGGATTCTGGGGATCGAACTCAGGTCTCTAGGCTTGTATGACAAGCATCTTTACCCACTGAGCCCATAAAATCCTTTTTTCTTAATCAGATACTAATTTATAATGTTTTTAAAACCCAAAATAAAATGTAGGGCATACAGTAGTAGAGGAAGCATGAGTATTTAAACTACCAGAAAGAAAAAAGATTAAATCAGAAATAGGGAAAAAATGGTAGTGCTGTGGGACGGTCTGTATGTCAAATGCTCTGATTGGTCAATGAATAAAACACTGATTGGCCAGTGGCCAGGCAGGAAGTATAGGTGGGACTAAGAGAGAGGAGAAAGGAGAGAACAGGAAGGTGGAGGGAGACACTGCCAGCCGCCGCCATGACAAGCCGCATGTGAAGATGCCGGTAAGCCAAGAGCCACGTGGAAAGGTATAGATTTATAGAAATGGATTAATTTAAGATGTAAGAACAGTTAGCAAGAAGCCTGTCACGGCCATACAGTTTGTAACCAATTTAAGTCTCTGTGTTTACTTGGTCGGGTCTGAGCGGCTTGGGACTGGCAGGAAAACTCTAGCTACATAGTAATGTTTAGTAATTTCTTTTGTGGGGGTTGGGGGTTGAAACAGGTCTGACTGTGTACTTCTAGCTGGAATTCACTACAGGCCAAGCTGACCTTGTGGCTGCTTCCTGCCTGTGTCTATAGTGCTGAGGTTACAGGCACCGTTTCACCATGTGTCTAGAATGTCCCAGATGACTAAATATATAAAGATTGTCCATTTCCTTAGAGCTGGAAGAACCCAGGCAGGACCCACCCCTTTCAGGGCAGTCTTTTGGTCATATTCTGCTCCCTTCTTGGGGCTGATGCCTTCATTCCCCATGTGGAAATAGGTGAGGTGGGTTGAGAGAACTCTGGGGAGCTACAGCAGCAAGCGGGGAGTGGGCCATTGTCTCACCTGTGCTGAGCCCCTGGTGAAGGTGAGCTTTACGTTTCTGTCTCATGACTGGAGCTCTAGCCATTGCTAGAGCAGTTCCCAGTGTGGTACAATTTAAAACAGATGTTCTGTACCTCAAATCCTATTAAATACCCTAAGATGGTTCTAGACCATGTCCTGGGTGAAGGAAGTGGTAGCTTGCATTGAAAAATCCCTCCAGTGTTTTCAGTACACTACCCTTCTGTCTTGTGTATGCTCAGTTCTCAGATAATTGAGGCTCTAGTTCCAAACTGAGTTCTGATTCATTATCTTTTCTTCCCATAGTGTTTCATTCTATTTTTGATTTTCCATACTGCTTTAGTATTATTTCCACAAAGTATTTTAATATGTGATGTAGCTAGATGAGGCCCCATTTACCCTCAGAAGCAGTTTTTCCTTTTTTCTAAGATTCAGATGGGCAGAAAGTTGAACGGTAATGCAGTAGTACTCATGTCTTCACTAGACTGGGGCATTTTTAGACTACCACCACATGGTCTTCCCTGAGTTTCTGGAATGTTTAGAACCCAGCTCTATGCACAGAGACATGCTCATATCCCTTCAAAGAACGAAGGGCTAATTGTCTACAGAGCTGTGTGAACAGTGCAGGCTTCCACCGGCACCATCAACCTTACTTTGCTTAGTGAGTGCCTGAAATGCTGCTCAGACTCAGCCCCTGAGGACCGGGCTCTTCTGTCATCTCCTCATTTCATGGCAGAAGGATTGGGGATGGAAAAAAGTTGGAGCAGCTAGCTCACTTTCTTCAAGAAATTAGGGCAGGGCTAGAGTTATGCTGGGGATTCACCTAGTTGCTGTGGGTGGGTGAGGTGGTGTGAGCTTGGCTAAGCTGAACCATTTCCCAGAAGCCCCCCCTGGTCTCCTTTAGGGTGGCGTTGGCCACCAGCGAAGTTCTGATGAGATTTGGAAGAAGAGGGTGCTGAAATTTGTCTCAGGTCAGGCCCCGTTCCATCTCATACACAGCTACTGGGGTGTGCTGCAGCCTGGGTAGTGTCGGCTTCTTTGGAGCGTTCCCGTGTGCACATGGATGAAAGCTCCCGTGTGAGGAGAAGCTGCTGAGGGCTTCTGAGGCCCTTTTCCAAGGGAGTCTGGGAAGTGAGTGATGTATCAAAACATCCTTATGCTGTCTCTTGGTCGGGTAGTATCCTATGGCCTATCTGGCCAGTACAGGTTGTTGTGGAAATGAAATAGCCAGTTGTCATCAGAGAGCCCAGGATGGAAGTTTCTGTCCTTGATTTTTGGTAAGCCATCTTTATTTCCCTGAGCCTCAGTACTAGTTTGGAGCTAATGTCCCTCATGAATGTGAAAGGCCCAGTCCCCAGAAAACGGTACTGTTGGGAAGAGGTGGGACCTAGGAGATGGGGCCTGGTGAAAGGAAGTCAGGTCATTGGCAAGCATGCCCTTGAGAGAAGAATGTCTCGTTTCCCATCTACTGTCAAGTCTGTGATACTCAACTCTAAGTCATTTGTTTTGGTTTTTGCGATAGGATTTCATGTAACCCAGGCTGCTGGCTTTGAACTCCCTATGTAGCTGAGGATGTGACTTTCAGATGCTGCAGTCTCTTTCCCCAAGTGCTCAGGTAACAGACAGGTGTCACCACACCGGGCACTTGGAGAGCATCTTTACCTGTTTAGGCTGTAAGCTCCCAGGATTACCCCGCCCTCCCTCCCTCCCTCCCTCCCTCCCTGCTTTGTAAACCTTGCCTCTAAGAGCCTGTTTTGCTTCCCTGTGATGTGCTTATCTGTATTTAGGGACAAACAGCACTGGCTGCAGGTTCTTTGCTACCATGAAGGGTAACTGAAGCTGGTCATCACCTCTTGTTTTATGTGCCGATGTTTTTAACACCCGTGGAGTGGCATTAAAGCAAGTACTAACGAGGTCCGGTGGTGGTCACTTCTAGTCTCAGTGCTTGGAAGGCTGAAGCAGGCAGATCACTGTGAATGCAAGGACAGCCTAGACCACAGTGAAACGTGATATCCAAAACAAAAATGAAACCACACACACACAAAAAGCATGCTACAATACTAGGGCATTGTGGTAGATGTTTCTCTGGCTACTTTCAAGTCAACTTGACACAAGCCAGAGTCATTTGTGAAGAGGGTACTTCAATTGAGAAAATGTTCCCACTTGATGAGCTTGTGGGCAAGTCTGAAGTACATTTTCTGGACTGATGTGGAAGAGTCCAGCTCACTGTGGGCAGTGCCACCCCTGAGCCGGTAATCCTGGGTTAATAAAGCTGGCTGTGGGGAGCAACCAGTAAGCAGCACCCCTCCATGGCCTCTGCATCAGCTCCTGCCTTCAGATTCCTGCCCTGTTTGAGTTCCTACCCTGACTTCCTTCGGTGATGGACTATGATGTGGAAGTGTAAGCCAAATAAACCCTTTCCTCTCCAACTTGCTTTTGTTCATGGTGTTTTATCACAGCAACTCAACCCCAAGACATATCTTTGTTTCCCTCAAAGTTGTATCATTAGTAATCATATGTATGTACATATGCATATAAGCATGTATGCATGTATATGATTTCTTACTTTTCAGAAGTTAACTCCTCAGAATATAAAATATACCATGAACCTAGATACCTAACCAGTATTGTCTGCAGAGTAAATATTTGGTGAAATGAGTTTCAGGAGCACCACAGGCTGGAACAGAGGAATGGTGCCATTGTTTGGGTTTTATGGTTTCTTTGGTTCACATGCCAGGGAATCAAACACAGGGCCTTGCACATGCTACTTACGCACTGAGCTACATTCCCAGCAGCTGCCTGGAGCTCTCCGTGTTCCTGCCTCCGTGGGTGTGTGTGTGTGTGTGTGTGTGTGTGTGTGTGTGTGTGTGTGTGTGTGTGTGTAGTTCATAGAACTGTGGAATTGGTTTTCTTCCATCTTGACATGGGTTCTGGGGAATCTTGAAATCAGGTTGCCATGTTTGCATCTCACTGGCTAACGATTTTCTTTATCCCATTCTGTCTGCCTTGTACTGACAGCATTTCATCTCTTTAGTGTGTACTTTTGATTAAACTGGTGAGGCTAAGCTTCTCATATGATCAAATATCTAAGTAGAAGTCACTGAGACATACGTAAGATGGAGAACAAACTGTTGTTGTTGAGATAGGGTCTCACAGAGGACAGAATGCCTTCCTAACCCACTGTGTGGCCAGGAATAACCATAAACTCCTGAAGTTTCCACCTTTATACCCTGAGTGCTGGGATTTCCATTGATAACTGTGGGAGGCCAGCTCCCACCTTTTAAAAGGGTTCCTATGAGGAGGAGAAAGGGATAAGAAACTTAGATAGAAAAATAGCAAAAAGAAAGACAGAAACACAGGATAGCTTCGGGAGGACCTGGATCAAAACCCAGCAGACCCTTCTTCCTCTTCAAAAGGCTTTTTATAACAATGCCAAGGGGTGGGGCAGAAGCCCTCCCCCTTGCTAGATCAAAGCACACTGCACAGCCAAGTGTAGACCCTTCCACACACCTGGTAACCACACCTGTGGTCAAATCATCCCCTTAGGCAGCCCTGCTGGGTAAACAAGCTCAGATTCTCAGACCCTGAGTAATTTGGACCTCCACAGATAACCATGTCTGGTTTATATGGTGCTAGGGATCAAATTCAGAGCCTTATGACTGAGGCGAGCACTCTACCACCTGAGCCTCATCCCAGTTTCCAAGACAGTCTTCAAGAACTACCCTTCCTGAGTTTTTCCTGGAAGGACTATGGAGTCATATCTGTAGCAGGTAGACATGCAGGCAGCTGTCCTTTCCTTTCTACACTGTCCTTGTATACCCTGAAATCAGGCAGGTAGAGCTTCTACAGTGTGCACCTGGAGGGGACGCAGGCCAGCATCCACCACTGCTCCAGGTGAATGACATATGCGATGTATCACCTGCCACTTCCATTTTAAATGGCTAAACTCTCATTTGTGGTTCTGTGACTCCCTTCTTTTGCAACTGAAGATAGGGTGGCTCCCATCAAGGTAAGAACTGCAAGGAGAGGTAGCTTCTCACACTTATGTATAAACAGGTACCAGTTTTGATTTTATTTCATCGTATTAACATACATGACACATCAAAATGAGAAATGCACAACTGGACCGTTCAACAGCTTGCTTTACTCCAAAGAACACTATATTCATATGAAACATTTATAGTCTTTCCACTCTAACTTTACAAACGGTCTAAACGGTTTCCAGCATTTCTCAGAGTCTAGTTTTGCTCACTAAAATCACTGCTTTGCATCACTGCAGAAGACTCCAGGCTTCCCTGTGCTCACATGAGGAGAGCCAACCACCACACCACCACTGTGTGCCTCAGAGGCAGCCCTTTCAGCATGGTAGCTATGATTCCCAGAACTGATAATGTGACGTTAGCGATGAAGACTGACAGCTGTAGAGTGTGACCATCAGCTACACAGAAGGACCATGGCCAGAGGGCCCTACATGATGTACGGCACAGGCAGCACACCGCCCAAAGACACTGACGCCAACTCCCTTGGTCCTCCTGGAACATCCTTAATGACGGAGCTGTGGCTTTCGCTTTTCAGTTATGTCTTGCCAGTGTGACCAGATTTTAAGAGAGTGGATTCTTACACATTTAGCGTGTGTACCAAAATTCACTGTGAAGCTTTGGGAGCTTCTGATTACATAAGAGATTTTGATGTATATCAAAAACACAGCTTGCTGAACAGAACCTCCACAGAGTGGCAATCTGCTCCCTGGGCAGTGTCTGCTCTGCCGTCATCTTAGGCCCAGACACAGCTTATCTGTACAGAACCAGTATGTCCACGAGGCTCATAACCCTCTTGATCAAGCCCTTTGGCTTCGACCCATGTCACTCTCTGCTGGTTTTAGCGATCACTATAGGAAACATTAAGTCACATCCTAGTCAAAGGACCGTCCACTTCACAAACACAGAACACCCTGAGGTATGAGTCAGCCCCTTGCTACACTTCCAGTAAAGAACCATGACCATACCTGCCCACACCCACACCCTGCTCACGTGAATTAAGGCTGGACTCTAGAGGAGAAAACTCAAGCCAGGAAGGTGAAAGGCAGATGTGTACTGTCATGAACACACTTGTTCTTACTACCTTCTATTCTCAGCTGCCAGGATTGTGTCCACACAGTGATTGTATGCCAGGGACTGAGAAACCACTGTGGTCCTCCACTCTGACATGTCCCTTCCTCAGAAAGCAGGCTGGGACAGCTTTTGAAAAGAGCTTTCCTGTATTCACAACTAAACAAAATTCAACAACTCCTTTGCAACCTTTCTAGTATGTTTTACTCAGAATAGTTCTTGCTTACCAAAGCCCATGGTAGATTTGGAAGTCTAAGAAGATTCTAGAAGTAGTACCCTTGTTGCATACCACAGGAAAAAAAGGCCACCTAAGAAATCGGTTTCCTGCTTCAAGTTTTACCTTCCCGAATCTCCCTATAGTTTTATTCCATGTCATGAAACAGAACTAAAAAGCATGTTTTGGCTGAGAACCTGAATGGGCTATCACTCCAGCTACCAAGCCCAATGATTCACATTTACCTCTAAACCAAGTCTGTGCTCAATTTAAGGATTAACAATCCCACTTTAGATAATTCTTTGATTATTATAAAGAGGGAGGGAGACTGTTTAGTGTCCCATGCCTGGCTTAAGTCTCTAAGCTACCTGACTGCCCAATCTCTAGCTATGCTGAACTCCAGTTGGTCCCCTCTTCGTTAAAGCTGAGAAGAAGGGTACATGGCAACTGCTCGTCCAGGCCCACTGGGATTTTGTGCATAGACGGTATGAATTTGTCTGGAAAGTGACAAGTTACTTACTTATTCACAATGCCTAGAAAATGGGCTCCTAGACATGGTAGTGGTGATGGCCCCAATGTCTTGTCTGAGGTACTGGATTGGTTATAAGTAGATCTAGGCAAGGCTCCTAATAGTTCATCCAGCAGAATGATGTCCATGTCCTTCAGCTGTCAATCAAGCTTGGATTTATGACTCAGCTTTAGACAGGATCATTTCTCTTGGACTTCCCACTAGGCTCTGTCCCTAAGAGGGTCTTTCCACCTGACCCACAGCTGGCTCAGTCTCAGCGCTAAGGTGCACTAGGGAAGGGCCTGGACAGAGATGAGTTCTGGAGAGCTCTGCTGCACATGAAAATGGGAGGGATTCTGCCCTCTACCATCAAAAACAAAACCCTTGCTTTTGTGGGAACAAGATGTGCAATTCACTGAACAGAATCTCTTCTCCTGTCTGGGGGACTTCTAACATCTACCCTCCCACTCTTCTGAGAGCATTAGCTGTTCTCAGTGCAGGTGTTGAGAGAACAGCTGTGTTGATCCGTCTTTTGCTTTTACACCATAGCTCTATATTCCAAAAATAGATATGTATATCCTATACATATTTCAGATTTACAGGGAATATTTTTGTGAACAAGAAACAAAACAAAACAAAACGTCAACAGAAGTTGCATGGGTCTTTCTTCTCAGGAGACCTCAATGATTTCCATGCTGCCTGAGAAGCTAGACTGACTGCCCACTTTCCCCAGCTCTTCCCTTGACCTGGTCTCTGACATGATGCTCTCTCCAAATTCCATTTGGCAGCTCCTGCGCTTAAACTGCTTCTCAAAGGGGCTCTCTTCATGCCAGCTCCGTCTCGAGTCAGCTCTGTCACCGGGCTTCTGCCGCCTACGAACAGAGTAGACTTGGTCGCTGCAAGTGGGCAGCTGGCTACAGCTGTAGGCAGAGTAACTGGTGTTGCCTCCATAGATGGCTGAAGCAGAGTAGAAGTGTGAAGGCTCTGTGGCAAAATACCAACTATTGGTCAGGGAGGGGGCAGAGGATTGGGGAGCCAGAATATCCGAATGCCAGCCCTTGAGACCATGCCCTGCAGCGGACTTGGTGAGGTGTTGCTGGCTGGTGGAAAGGCCGAAAAGAAAGTTAGTGTGGTAATTGTCCTCTACACTCCCACTCCGATGTAGCGGTGAGAAGAAGGACCTCTGGGTGGCCCCACCACTGCTGGTTCGCACTGAGTGCAACCTCTTGCTCTGGCTCTCTGAAGGCCTGCTGAGTTGGGGCTGCTTGGGGACGTGGGCCTCCTCCTTATCTGGGCTGGTCTCTGGAGTCTGCTCTGATACCTCCTGAACAGGGGAGAACTGGCAGAGCTTGTTGGTCCCATCCAGTGTGGCAGAAGGTTTGTAGTATTCCAAAGCATCCTCTGATGAGAAGCCATGTAAAGATGCTGCCACACTGGCTGAATACGAAACCGATTTGATATCAAGAGAGAAGGAACGCTTGAGCTTATTGCTGTCTTCCAGCTTCTCCGAGGCCAGCTGGAGCCCGCTGAACGCCTGTACCAGTGGACTGTCCTCTAAGAGGGAAGGCTGTAAGCTGGGCACACTGGCAGGATGCACAAGCCTTTGCCCTGCGGCCTCTGAGGTCGAGCTGGCACAGGGTGGACTGAGAGCCAGTGCACTCTTCCATCCGCCCTCCGAGGCTGCAGGCTCACTGGGTTTGTCCAGGTGCAGCAGCTTGAGTTTGCTCTTTGGCCCTGACACTCCAGTCTGTTTCTTAATCGTCTTCTCAAAGTCCATGAGTTGGCCCAGAAAATTAAAGTTCGGAGATATGGTAGGTCTTTTTTCTTTCACAAATCTATAGAGAGGACAAAGCAAACCCCTGAATTTTACAACTGCACTTTGTCTTGAGGACACTAAGAGCAAGTGACAGGACATTACTATACCTTCCCAATGCTTTGGAAGAGAGTGCATTTCTAAGTCCAGCATCAAGGTGGAGAACACCTTACTAGGGGAGCTGTGGCATGGTAGGGTGCAGCCTCCAGGTGGTTCCTTATTTCTAAGAAGCCAAGGCTTCCAAAGCAGTCAGTAAGAGGACGAGTTGCTCAACCCCGCGCCCTGCCACACACACTGGCCAGCCCAGCAGTGCGAAGCCATTCAGCAGCATCAACACTCCAGGATCCCCTCCTGAGCTCCCACACTCAGGTCTCAAGACAGTTCCCACAAAGATGGCACCAGACGGCAGTGAAGAGCGCTCACTACGAAGGGTCTCTGGTGCTAAACCCTGTCCTGCTGCGCCGAGTTGTTCAGTCCTCACCCTGCTTATCTAGACCAGGTCAAAAGTCCCGAGGTTTAGTGGTCCCACAGTGAACAAAGCTACTCAGTGATGGAGCTGGTTTCAAAGCCTCGACTGTCTAATGCCTGGGCCCATTTTTGTGGCCACCATGTTAAAAATTTCGTCAAGACATAAAAACTCACAGAATAAAACTATAATGTGGTATGAGGGTGTGGGCTTTCCCTGCTGGCTTCAGCCTAGGCAGAAGGGCGACAGGGACAGAGGCCTCACTTGAGAGAGCTAGTGCAGAAAAGAGGACCATCTCCTCCAACAAGACAGGCTGTCTAAGCAGCTCATTTCTTTATTCCAGAATTTATAGTTTGAGAAATTCAAATATTTAAAAAAGCCAACCTAGTATATCTATATTCTTATTCTTTTTCATATGAAAACCAAATACTTCTTGCCAACAGGGCATGCAGTGAACTCAGACTCATTTGTCACCAGAGAAGACACCAGTTCTCAGTGGTCCTGCCACTTTCTGCCTTTCCCACTGAGACGAACGGAGAAAGCAGCCTAGTCAGAATTACTACCTACAGAACCTTGCCAGTTAGACAGGACAGGAAGTTTTGTTCAGACTCTATACGTGAGTGCATCAGGCTTCTTCACCTCGGAAGTACAATCAAGCAGAATGGACTCTGAGGAGCACTGTCAATCAGAAAAGGCCATGCTTCTCTAGCAAAAAAAGAGAAATAAGCTCTCCTAATCTAGTGTCACTAAAAAGCAGCTGAGGATGAACACCACACATTAGCGAGAACTACAGCTAAGCAGAACTGTTCTCTTTCTCAGACTCTGCAAGACCATGAGTCACCAGGAACCTGTGACGAGTGTGACCCAAATCATCTTGGTCTGCCTTCATCTGGCCACCCACCTTCATAGCTCTTCCTGTTGCAGGGAAAATGAAAAGCATGTCCCATAAGACATGCTCCTGTCTGTACCTGTAAGCCTCATCTAGAGACATGTCCATCCTCTTCATGATGTAGGCAATAGCAATGGTGGCGGAGCGAGAGATCCCAGCTAAGCAATGAACCAGCACACAGCCATTGGAAGCTTTTGCTTTCTCTGTGGAAGCAAATTTAAGAAAGGTCACTAGGAATCTCTTCAGTAAGGAAATCTTATACTCAGCATTACTCTGAATGTTACTGTCCATGTCTTCACCTGAGACTTCAAAGCAGGTCTGTCTCACCTGTGTAGCCTCCTAGTTATCTTTTAGCATTGTTTATCAGGAGGAAGGGGAAAGGCAGTGATCTTGCCATTAAGGTCCCAAAGGGTTATTAATAAGCAATGAGTTACTACCTCAGACTGCTTGGCTCTTCTCTCAGAACTTTCGCCATGTAGAGTGTATGTGTGCAGGAATCCATGGAAGACAAGTCAACCTCAGTCGTCACTCCTCAGGTGTACTTTGTTTTTCAGACAGTACTTCACTGGCCTGGAACTCACCAATAGGCTAGGTAGTTGGCAGGCGAGCCAGCAAGCCTCAGGGCATTCTCCTGTCTCTGCCTCCCCAGTAATGGGATTATAAGCAAGCACCACCAAGCCCATCATTTTCACATGGGTTCTGGGGACCAGACTTGGGTCCTCAGGCTTGCACAGCAAGCCCTTTAACAGGCTGAGCATCTCCCCAGCTATTTGCTTAACTCAAAAATCATGAATACACTAGACCAGAGCTCTCTAATAGGAAGCAGGAGTTACTAACATATTGCATCATTTTAATTCCCCGGAACATATGCAAGAGACTCATGGATACATTAGAAGCAAAGCCAGGGGGATTCACACAGGGCTGCCCTCTTTGCTGATGAGGAGCTTCAAAAGCTTACATGTAGGAACAGATGACATTATCCCAAATGGCCTGGAAGCAACTACCATGACTGATTCTGTTCTGAACAACTACACATGTGCTCAGCCATAAAGCTGTTGCCATGTGGCCAAATCCTTCCCTTTTCATTTATTAGTTAAAGCTGAGGTTAATTTTTTAAGGCAGGGTTTTTCTGTATAGCCCTGACTGTCCTGGAACTCACTCTGTAAAACAGGCTGGCCTTGAACCCAAAGATCTACCTGCCTCTGCCTCCCATCTGCTGGGATTAAAGGCATGAGCCACCACCACTGGTGGCGAGGTTAAAATTCTTAAAATTATGAGAACACAAGGGACCTGCACTGGCTCCTGAACAGAAAGCTGCTCCAGGCTCACAGCCTGTGATACAGACTTCTAGTAGACATGATTTCTTATTCATTATATACTAAGCAATTTAAGAGTACACAAAGAATAAGCAACAAACAGCGTCCCTGCTGAAAAAGGGAGTCAAACAGGAACAAATGAACACAATCTACACTGACACCCAGAACCAGGCTAACATAAGTAACACCCGGGCCTGTGTGGAACTCCTGTATCATCAGCCACCAGCACTGATCTTCTACTCCGTATTCTCTCTTTTTCTTGGGTTAGAGCTTCAAAGCTAAGGTTTCCACCTAATGGCAATTCTAGTTCTCTGTCATAGCCACTGGACTTTTCCTATAATTTGATTCTTCTCCCCTTTTTTTCTATCTCAAGTATATGGATGAATGTGTATATGTTGATCCCAATCCCCAGCTGGAAGCTGCTCCAAATCATGATGGGAAGCAGGCTTGGAAGGTCTAAGAGAGAAATGCAGTGTAGACCACTGCCTAGCATGTTTAAAGCTCCAAATTCCATTCCCAGCATGCACACTAAAATAATTTGGTTTCAGTTTTCCTAATTTGAGTGTATTTTCTTTTACTGCTAATAATGATCTGGGGCTGGAGAGGTGGTTCAGAGTACTTGTTGCTCTTGCAGAGGACTGGGGTTTGGCTCCCAGCATCCACACTGCAACTGTGTGTAACTCTAGCTGCAGAGTATTTGATCCCCTCTTCTGACATCCCCAGCACCAAGCACATACACACATGTAGGTAAAACATGCATAAAGATAAATCCAAAAAAATCTAAAATAAAATTTTAAAATAATTATTATCTTAAAAAATAGACTAGCCGGGCACTAGTAGCACATGCCTTTAATCCCAGCACTTGGGAGGCAGAGCCAGGCAGACAGATCTCTGTGAGTTCAAGGCCAATCTGATCTACAGAGTGAGATCCAGGCCAGGCACCAAAACTACACAGAGAAACCCTGTCTCAACACCCCCCACCCCCAAAAAAAGACTATAAGAATCTATCATGGTCCTGTTCTCACACTCCTCAATGGCTCAAATACTAGCAATATTATACAAGCAGTTAATACTGTCTGGCACATATTTTTAAAAGATTATTTATTTTTAAAAATGGGGGAAATGGCAAGAAGGTTCAGCAAGTAAAAGTGTTCGATGCATAAGCCTAACAACCCGAGTTTGATCCCTCGAATCCACAGTGGAAGGAAAGAACCAGCTCCCCAACGTTGTCCTCAGCCTCCACATGTGTGGTTGCATACGTGTGCCCACACTCATGATTCATACATACACAATAATAACAATAAAATTAAATTAAAAATTTTGAAGGAGGTTGCAAAGAGATAAAACTGACAGTCATACAGCCACAGCCCGAGTATCAATGAAGCCACATAAACAAAGGAGATGCTGTGTCCAAGTAGAAGGTGAAAGCTGACCTGGATTGTCCTGACCTCCACACATGCACCATGTCACATGTCTGCTGTGTCACACACATGCTTATGTCCAATACATACAAGTAAACAGGTATTTTTTAGAACCCTGACAGTAACATGCATTACAATATTGATGATACATTTCCTTTCCCCTTCGGTTTTCTGTATTGTGCTCATGCTGTTTTTACAACCACAATTCAGCTGATAATTTTTAAAATTAAATATAAAAGTGCTTATTCTAGAGTGGGTTCATCTGCACATAGGTCTTGACAGAGTGTGAACCCAAGTCTTGGCGTGGAAGTCACACACAAAGACCTGGCAGAGAAGGCCAGGACCATCATGCACAGGAAAGCCCTATCAGTCCTGAACGGGGCACTCAGAAAGCAGTCTACCTTGGCCGGCACTCACCAGCCATGCAAGAAATAACTGGAGGTGGCTGCACCCGTGGGAGCAGGTGTTGGGGCGGGGCTCCTCGGGAATGTTAGGCTAAGACACATTTCTGTGTAGGAAATTCAGGAGCCGCTCCAAGTTCTGGAGTGAGGAACAAGAAGACAGCGATGGAGAAACTGGAAATAACAGCAAGTTAGAACTGCAGAAATCCAGGGACAATGTGTAGGTTTAAAAAAGTACAGAAACCTTTGCTCTAACAACAACATAGACAAAAGGAGAGGGCTGAGAAGTTAAAAACTGAGGACGGACTGACAGTGAGGAGTCGGAGAGCTCATAAAAGGAAGTAATGGCCAAGGTCAGTTAGATCTACAGACAGGGAGTATTGTCAGTCAGAGAGGGTAGCCTGGGCCTGTAGTCCCAGCTACCTGGGAGGAACGTCTGGGCCCAAAGTCTGAAGCCAGCCTCAGCGGCATAGCAGGAACCTGTCTCAGAGAAAGCAAGGGTAGAAAAAAGAAAACTATAAACATTTCTTCAGAGCTACCTCTGAGCTGAGTACTTTGTAAAGTGTTTGGTGCATGTAGATTATCTGCTTTAATCCTCACACCTTCCCGACAAATTAGGTCTATTACCTTCAGCCTCTCTTTCAGCAAACAGGCACACAAGAGTTTTAAGTTAGTTACACACAATCACTTAACTGATAACCAGGGAAGAAGGACTCAAAGTTTGGCTCCAAAGTACATCCTTTTAATCAACTCTCTATGTTGCCTCAGAGCAGAATCATAGACTTAGTGGGGGTGGGGTTGAGCAGGAGCTTGGATCATGTCTCTGAATCAACATGACATGCAATGGAAACATTAATCACAACTGTCTTCTTTTTATTTAAGGGCAAAAAAAAATTGAATATACTTCTTAGAGGTGCAATGAGAAAGTATTAGTTGAAAGAATTTTCTTTATGATTGTTTTAATGTGATACAGACTAGCTTCTGTTCATGCATGTGCAAGCATGTGCTGGAATTTCGCTGGATTCAAAACTACTTGAAACTATTGATGCATAGACTGAGGCTCAGGAAATCCTGTAACATAAAATGACTTCATATGTAATGGGATGTTTTCACAGGACCTGACTTTTCCCAGGGAAAACACAGGACCAAGTATGAGGGATTATCAGCCAGATTCATCAAATGTTTTCAAAAGATTTGAAAAGTGGGAGGGTGGGGGTTAGTTCTGAAAGCTTAACTGATTTTTAAATACTTGCAACACATAATCATAGATCTCGAGAGGCTTAACCTTGGTGCTGTTAAAAGTTAGCTAGCAGGTCACAAGGCCAATCCCTTAGGAGTAGCATGGCACATGTCACCTTGACCATGAGTAAGTAAGCAACATCATGTGCTGCTTTCAGACTAAAATCTCTAAAAGAGGCAAAAAGGGAGGGAGTAGCTATACCTGTCTGTGACATTGTGATTCAAAGGCTTGGACCCTTTGTCATAGTTACGTACCAATGAAATCCACAGACTTGTCCAACCAGGGCAGAATTTTTTCACAAAAGCTGTCATTCACAGGCACTCGCAGGAAGTGAGATTCAGGTATGAAGTCAGGCTTTGGACAAGTATTGCTGGCATTTAACACATAGCCAATCCCATTCTGTTGCATCAGCTCCTATAGAGGGAAAGAACAATTAAAGAAACTAATTGTACTAAGAATCATTTTGAAAGATTGATGCTTAATACTATGACAAATATTACCAGTTTCTTTGCAATAGTTATTCACATAGTGAAATCCAAAAATCCAATGAAGTGACATTTACATATTCACAGTTGAAAGTGAAAACAATTATGGACATTCAAAGCCATTTAAAATCATATGCCTGAAGAGCAACCACACATGGTCAATACAGTCAAGTCTCAGTTGTCTCCACTGCTAGAGAGAAGCAGAACAAAGAATACAAGGAAACAACAGTGCATACAGCTCTCTTCCCACATGACCAGGCTGGGTGTTCTCGAAGATGCAGGCCTGGGCATTCTTGTTGCTTGGCTTAAACAATCTTTCTGAAGGCTGTACTTATTTATGTGAGTTTATACCTACTGGATACTGGGATGTCCCACAGACTTTTCACATTCAAACACAGCATCCTTCTCTCTTTTTGTCCTAACTCCTGCTTTCTCTCATCCCAACACTGATGAAAATGATACACTGAGAACATCCACCCTGCCAGCTGGCAAGAAAATACTACATGGCTCTTTTTTCTTCCTCGTAATCTCAATTACTTCTTCCATTCATTCTCTCTCTTCTCTCTATTCCCATCCACCATTCAGTGATCAGTCCTCAAGATAACTTTTTTAAAAAGCCACTAGGGAGCTCCTGATGTGTGGGGTGTATTTCCCCTCCAAACCATATTCTTTACAACAACTAGGGTAATATTTTTTTTCTTTTTGAGACAGTGTCTTGCTGGGCATCCCAGCCTGGTCTCAAACTCCACACTCAAATGATTCTCCAGCCTCAGCCTCCAAAGTATCTGGGACTACAGGCACATGCAACCACACTCCGCTAATCTTTCTTACAACTAAGAGTAGGCTAAGTGCTCCTGATATACACAATCCCATAGCATGGCATGTGTACTCACCCACCCTTCTGTGTTTAGAAGGCTCTGCTCCCGTCTTCTTCCCACTTTTCCCACTCAGCCTGACCTTATCTATGAATTCCTTCTCATGGACACACAACCATTCCAAGCTCCATTCTTGTAGAGTGCTGTGTTCACAGCATTATAACAACTCAGCATTGTATACTGTGTTAACAGTTAACTCCTGTCTCCCTATTACACAGTGAAACAATGAATAAGGTCATGTACTGATCTTGTTCTCCTGTGTAACTGCACTAACAGGAATCTGTCATTTGATAAACACATCTACCACTGACCCAATGAGTAGGCAAGCAGAAGCAGCCCCGCTCTGATGAATCTTCCCAGTGCTGCCTCTAAGGACATCTTCTAAGCCTGGATTATTACTCTAAGCAACCCTGGTCATTTCTTCTTTTTCTTGGAATACCACCTTTTTTACACTTTTCCAACTACTTTAAAGACAAATGGTAGTTTCCTTCCTGTTTACCTTTCTGAAACATACTGGATCTCCTCTTCATTTTGCACACTTGGTATAGTAAGTGTATTTTATTTTGTACAAAGGATACAGATTGTCTGTATAACCCTTTCTCATTTCTGAGATAACATCAAGAAACACCTTTGGCCTTCTAGGATTGACCAATCCCTTCTTTACACCAGAGCACAAGGCCCCTGGTGGGCTCATCTGCTCCAATTAAGCTCAGGATCAGACCATGAAGATCTTAATGGTGTTCATCACAACCTTTAATATCCAGTGCTTGGGGCAGAGGGACACTCGTTTTTTCTGTAGGTGAACCACAGATACCCTGGGTTTAACTAAGTACCATCTGACTCACTGCAGGCCCAGTATGTACCTGGTAAGGAGACCAAAGAGACCCACTAGAACTCAATCAGCCTCTGAGGCTTTTCTTACTAATGTCCTTAAGGAACCACACTATACTTCTTTCTCTTCTTTGCCAGTAGTATTAATTACTAAGTTACATTATGTTAAAGCAAAAGGAGGGGACTGGAGAGGCGGCTTAGCAATTAAAAGCACTTTTTCTTGTAGAGGAAGGAGGTTCTATTCCCAGCACCCATGTGACTCACAATCATCTCTAACTCCAGTTCTAGGGACTCTGGCCCCTCTTCTGAACTCCGTGGACACTGAGCATACTCATGGTACATATTTATACATGCAGGCAAAACTCTCACATATATAAAGAATAAGTGAAGCTTTTTGTTTTGTTTTGTTTTTCGAGAAAGGTTTCTCTAAGTAACATTGCTGGCTGTCCTGGAACTTGCTTTGTAGACCAGCCAGGCCTCGAACTCACTGAGATCCGCCTGCCTTTGCCTCCCAAGTGGTGGGATTAAAGGGGTGCGCCACCACCACCTGGCCTATTGTTGTTGTTGTTGTTGTTTTTTAAGAAGCAAAGGGAAATAGTGGCAGAGTGTTCTATCTACCGACTCAGTAATGAAGATATAGACTTTTTAGAAAGGCTGGACACACTTGCTTTAACATTGCTAAGGACAAAATATGCTGCATGTCATTAACGGCCATAGAGAGAATAGAGCAAGTGCCTGACATGTAGCCTGATAATCCACATGTTACAGAAATGACAATTTAACCTATATTCAAAAATACTTGTGGAGCACCTTTGTTAGAGGACTATTAATAGAACACTGTGATATATGGTACATATTAAGAAGATGACATCTCAAATATTAAAGAGACAATACCTACTATGTGCCAGGCACCATACTAAACATTTACTAGTTTTGCTGAACCTCACACTTTCTGTGTGATATGTGCTATTATCATCTCCATTACAAATGCGAAAACTGAGGCTTGGAGGTTCTTTATTTCCCAAGTCTCACCTCCACACACTGGTCCTACCCTGCTAGAAAACAGTACCAAATGAAAGATTCAAATCCAAACATACTCATCTCCAGAAACTACTCTTTCAGTCCCCATAATACACTAAACTTAAGTTCCTTCTATAGCAAATTAACCTGAACAAGAAAGCAACAATTCCAGAAACCCACGAACTAAGTGTTATGGTGCCTTCCTGTAATCTTAGTGCTGAGCAAGGACAGACAGACATCCCTGGAGCTCCCTGGCCTACTGGTGAGTGACCCAGTCTCAGAAAGCAAGGTAGATATCACCTAAGGAATGACGCCCAAAGTTGACCTCTGGCCTCCACTCACATCACTCAATTCACCCACTCCCACACAATCTCCTTATAAAACCTATTACCAGCTGCTACCTGAAATTCCTTTGGGAATAAGATAGAACTTTATAATAAAACAAGACCAAATTTGAAAACAAAAGGCAAACCAAGTACTAACGTGCCACGTAAAATGAAAATGTAATCTGACTACCAAGTTAAGCTGCATAGGGCCTGCGTGTGTAGATCTGTAGTTAGGACATCAGTGGGAGTGTCAGTTAAAGAAGGAAATCATGAAGGAGGACACATACTTGAAATGTGATCTCGAGCTTAAAATTACATATTAAATAATTTATACGGAACATGAAAACAGGAGCAGGGCCATGTGGGAAAGGGCGAGAACTTACTGTGCAGAACAGAGGACAAAGATGGTTTGGCCAAAGTACACAATACATTTGAGTGAAAATGTCTTCATAAAACCTACCATACACAATTAAACAGAATTCCAGGTCAGCTTGGGTTAAAAAAATTAGTAAAACAAATGTACATTAACACACTAATTTCTAATGCAACTTCTCTCCTTAGCTGAGTAGTTTTTAGGAAACCACACTAAATGCAACTATCTGTTTTTAGTTTTTGAAAAAAAGCAAGATCTCACAAAGGGCTGGAGATGTAGCTCAGTGGTAGAAAGGTTGCCTAGCATATATGAGGCTCTGGGTTTTATTTCTATTACCAAAATAAATAAATAGATAGATAGATAGATAGATAGATAGATAGATAGATAGATAGATAGATAGTAAATAAAAGGAAGAAGGAAAACAAAGAACTTAGGAAACAATGTCAGTTCAGACATCTCTCCATTACGAATACCTCCCAAATATTTATGGCTGCTAATTTAGCTGAGGTCATACAAAAACAAGTCTCTTCTCTCATTCTTATTCCATCAGACCATGACTATTTTAATTAATGTACATAATTATAATAGCAAGCAGACTAGCCCAGACAGGTCTGAGGGCAAACAACTGACTCTGGTAAGTACACTATTCAAACAGGGTGGCAGGTGTGCTGCAGGAAAGCCCACAGCTAGCCTGAGGGCACAAGGACGTCACAGTGAATCTCTGATGTTAGGTGAATAAGTTTTAGGAGTTCACTACAGCTCTATTAGTTGTTCTCTTGATTGATATTTCTTTAATATTTTGGTGAATGTGCATATAAGTGGCTGACAGGGTATATTAATTTAATATTTTTTTTATTTTCATGTGTGGGTTTATGTATACAACATGCAAGCAGATGCCCATAGAGACCAGAAGAGGGTGTCAGATCCCCTGGAACTATAGATAGAGGCAATTGTAAGTCAACCATGTAGGTGCTGGGGACCAAATCTAGGTCCTCAGCAAGGATAGTAAATTCTCTTAACTGATGAACCATCTCTCCAGCCCAAGGCACTGTAATTTTTTGTTGGTATATTTATGAAGAATAAGTAAGTATTTTGTGAAATGATTATTCTTCCACATAAATGGGTGCTAATGCCTTTGTTATAAATTAGATACATTTATGTAATTTTCATTTTATTTTGCCACATCATATAAAATATATGCAACTGAATAATTACTCTGTTCTGTAATTAAACAGTAAAATCTTTAAGCTTCTAGAGAGTAGTCATCTTACACTGTTATTTAGCTTGGACTTTGAACTACTGCTAATATGTGCCCGTCCAGTGATAAGATAAACCTCTGGTCTTCAATACTTTCTGACATCACGGTGCTTGAGTTCTTTGGACTCAGCTTCACTGCTTACTCGCATGACCTCTAGCCTACCATCTATTAGCTACAAAGCTTACAAAATTGCCATTGCCTGAACCCACTCTTGGACACCCTTACCCTCTTTCCTGTTCACTCTCT